ATGGACCGAGAGACCCTGAGGGGGAACTGGGTTCAGTAGCTGCTGTGGGTAGTGCTGGGCTGTCCCCAAACCCAGTGCCTCCCCTCATAGAGCCCTCAGTGGCCAGCAGCAAGTGTCCACCACCCACACACTGGCCCCCTACCCTGTGTGTTTGGCTACGGGCCTGGAGCTGGAGTCATGCGGGGATCTAGTTGCCCAGTGCTGGCGCTGGCAGGGCTGGGGGACTTCCCTGGCTAGATAAAGGTGAGTTTGCCAAAACAAGGATTACTCACCCTGCTTGAGGCATTTTAAAACAGGTAGGTAGATCTTAGGGGAGTGGGGGTGCTCGTGGCCCAATGGGTAAATGCTCAGTTTCTAACCACAAAGTCGGGTAGGAGTCCCCGCCCCCCCTCCTCCAGCCGCTCTCGGAAAGGAAAGAAGGGGCAGTCTGCTTCTGTGCTAGGGGGTACCTCTGCTCTGCCCTGTAGGGTCACTGTGCCCTGGACAATGAGTTCACATGGCAAACCTGCCAGGGCCCTTTGGAACAGTCGCACCACCCAGGCTCGTGGTCATTCTGCATCCCGTTCAGAGGGTTTTCCAAAGAACGCTGCTGTCGAGCCCTCTCATCAGAGCTTAGAAAGGTCACAGAGTCCACCTTGATCCCTTCGGTTCTGATTTTTGTGCGTGTGGTTCATGTATAGCTTTTTTTTTCCTTTTCTTTTTTTATTAATCATTTTATTGGGGGGGGCTCTTACAAATCTTCTAGCAATCCATCATGCGATGGCATTAAGCACACTTGTACATATGTTGCCATCAACACTTGCCAAACATTTTCTTTCAACTTGAGCCCTTGATATCAGCTCCTCTTTTTTTCCCTCCTCTCCCCACCTCCCACTCATGGTTCAGCTTTGAAGATGGGCTTTCCTTTTAGGGGGGCTGGGGTGCACTTAGAAATCAGAGATGAGTTGCAAAAGAAGCCCAGGGAACGCACAGAGCCGATAGAAAACGTGACCACTTCTTACCCACGTTCCTCGCAGCCGCTGAAAGACCATGGCAAACCCCTCCCTGGGGGACAGGCAACAGAAAAGTGGGTGAAGGGAGACAGTGGTCAGTGTAAGACATGAAAAAAACTTTTTATAAATTATCAAGGGTTCACAAGGTAGAGAGGGAGGGAGGGGGAGGGGGGAAATGAACTGATGCCAAGGGCTCAAGTAGAAAGAAAATGTTTTGAAAACTATGATGGCAGCTATGTACAAATGTGCTTGATGCAGTGGGTGGGTGGATGGATTGTGGTAAGAACTGTATGAGCCCCAATAAAATGATTTAAAAAAAACCAAACAGATGTACAACATCTCAGAAACCCTATACAGGCTCACTAGCTGTTGGCATGGGCTCGATGGCAGGGGGGTTGCTTTTGGGTTTTCAGATTAAGATCCTGCTCAGAGAACTCTGAAAGGGCTTGGCCGTATTCTGTGCAGAGTGAACTGAATTAGAAAGGCATGCTCTGACCGGACATCGCCCATAGGAATGTGGGCGTCTGTGATGAGGGGAGTCCGTACCCAAGAGCCCCTGGGACTCCCAAAGGTGGCATGAACAAAACCCACAAACTCTGCCAGCCAGCCGACTCCATGGTGACCCCATGATTTACAAAGTAGAACCGCTCCAGGATCGCTGTCCTACACACACTTCCAGAGAGCTGCTTGCTGGGTTTGAAACACCAACCTTCAGATTCGTAGCCCAGCACAAACCATCTGTCCTCGCATGCCATGCTGTAAGTGGACTTGCGGAAAGGGGCGATTCATTTTCAGACATACCAGCTCAGTTGGAGAGACGGGGTCTGTGTCGGCAGAGCTGATTACAGAGCCCCATCACTGAGTGCAGGGACCTCTGATGCTCGTCCAATGCAGGTGCCCCTCTCAGAGCGGCCTCTTGTTTGTAAGCTCAGCGCTGACGCTCCACACGCCCCTTGCTTCCACAGAAACGCAGCTTGACCACTGTAAATTAAAGCCAGATGGATTCTGCGAAGAACGGGGCGATGGCCTCCTTAGCACAGCGTGCAGACACTTGTGCTCCTGGCTCCTCGCTCACACTGACAGGGATTTGCAGACCAGGAACATCACCCTCAGTTGAGCAATCAACATCCCTTGGCTCCTGGGCCAAGAGACCCGGCGACGGGTGTGCAGAATGCCGATCCCTGGTGAACCGGTGGCGGACCTGTGTGGCCACTCCTGGAGGCAGCCTTGTGGGTCTACATGTTTCAGGACTCCCCCTGAGGACAGGGGCTTCAGGGGCTGCGTGGGGGTGGAGAGTGGCAGCCCTTGGAGAGGGCCAGCTTGCTTGCCATGACGATGTGACCTGCTGTGTCCTTCTCAGGAGCCAGAGGCTCTGGGGTACATTCCTCTCCTGCCCCAAATCCAAAGCAGAAGACCCAGGCTAGAGGCAGCTGCGGTTTGCAGCTAGGTCCTATTGGAACTCCTCAGACTCCCTGAAGACATCTGTGTGCTTTCAAAACAAGGTTTTTTGCCCTTCTACATTGGGGTCTTTACTGGAATCTAGCCAGGCATCGGGGAGAGCATGAGAGACATCCGGAGGAGGACAATCTCCTGACATCTGGCATTTCCCCGGGCTTATCAGCCAGAGGTGAGCTTGAATTGTGCCGGCCTACTCTTTTTGCAGCACCCCCGCCCCGCCCCCCGCCCCTCCGCCCAAACACTGACAAGTCTCTCTGGAAATCCTTCAAGGTGTCATGAATGAATCTGGCCGTCCACGTCCACATAGGATGCCTGGGACTCATTTCCTGCCCTGCTCTTAATCCCCAGCGAGCAACCACCTTTTGTTTACAGGGATGGGGATGGGAAAGGTCACACCAACTGTAGGAAGTACACACCTGCTGCTCACCGGGAGGGTTGCAGTTCGAGTCCACCCAGAGGCACCTTGGAAGAAAGTCCTGGTGATCTCCTTCTGAGAATGCAGCCTTGGAGAGAGAGCTGCACAGTGCCCGGATCTACGCTGAGACGGGGTGGTGGAGCTCCACAGTGCCC